AAAATATACGTGTCTAAAAAGTGAGATTTATCTGAGATCATCCTCTGAGATGAAACTCAAACACTTCGGAAAACGAAACAAATTTATTAACTGCCAGCCAAAAGATGCAGTTGACAATACAAAACAAGATGGCGTGGTTCACAGGACCCCCTTGGAAAGCAATAAAGTTTACAGCGGTGAGACCGGTAAACCTATGCAAGAAAAGAGCAAGGAGCATGACAGAGATGTCGAACTTTACCATTACAACATCAACAGGGACAAAGGAACAGAAATCGAGGGAATATGGATGCCTGAGATCACAAACACTCCGACTAGCTGGAGAGCCGCATGAAAGAGGACTGATTAGAGAACATCTCGTCGAAATGCACCATTTACAGCTGTGGAATTCCAAGCAATAACAGCTAAGCAGAACGGTTGATAACATGACGTGTACCTTCATATTGCATGAAAAAAAACTAGCCGGAGAGTCAGATAAATTATGCCGGCATCATTTTCAGCATAATGCTGCGGTCAGAGCATCACGCATAAAGCCAGCATAATGACAAAACCTTCTTAAAAATTCGGATATATCAACAAAGTTGAAATGGTAAATTGGCCACAGTAACGATTACAAAAGCTGACGTTTCGAGCGTTAGCCCTTCGTGGGAGCGAATAGAGGAATTGTGGGTTGTGTGTGCTTTTAAAGGCAGAAAATGGAGCTACATTATTGGTGGGAACATGGCAACAAGAAAAACAAGAATAAATTAGTGGAATGAGTCTAAATCCCACAGGGATCAACGACTGCTTTTCATTCCACTAATTTATTCTTATTTTTCTCGTTGCCATGTTCCCACCAATAATGTAGCTCCATTTTCTGCCTTTAAAAGCACACACAACCCACAATTCCTCTATTCGCTCCCACGAAGGGCTAACGCTCGAAACGTCAGCTTTTGTAATCGTTACTGTGGCCAATTTACCATTTCAACTTTGTTGATATATCCGAATTTTTAAGAAGGTTTTGTCATTATGCTGGCTTTATGCGTGATGCTCTGACCGCAGCATTATGCTGAAAATGATGCCGGCATAATTTATCTGACTCTCCGGCTAGTTTTTTTTCATGCAATATGAAGGTACACGTCATGTTATCAACAGTTCTGCTTAGCTGTTATTGCTTGGAATTCCACAGCTGTAAATGGTGCTTTTCGACGAGATATTCTCTAATCAGTCCTCTTTCATGCGGCTCTCCAGCTAGTCGGAGTGTTTGTGATCTCAGGCATCCATATTCCCTCGATTTCTGTTCCTTTGTCCCTGTTGATGTTGTAATGGTAAAGTTCGACATCTCTGTCATGCTCCTTGCTCTTTTCTTGCATAGGTTTACCGGTCTCACCGCTGTAAACTTTATTGCTTTCCAAGGGGGTCCTGTGAACCACGCCATCTTGTTTTGTATTGTCAACTGCATCTTTTGGCTGGCAGTTAATAAATTGTTTCGTTTTCCGCAGTGTTTGAGTTTCATCTCAGAGGATGATCTCAGATGCATCTTACTTTCTAGACACGTATATTTTGCATCTTATTTTCGGTTGTAAATAATTTTTAAAAATAATTCATAATTATTTAATTTTTTTTCAATTTGTAACAGCCATCACATAGACAAGACTCCTGGATATACAAAACATTTAAGAAAAGATCTTGCGGTCGATTTATTCCCTCGAAGAAGGACACAAGACGGTAAGTAACACAATCGCATGATAAGTTAGTGCAGTATGTACTGAATGAAAGCCTTTTCATTGTTGCAAAGTAGCTCTATAATTGTTTCTAAACGGAACCGATCAAAAAATTCCTCGCCATCAGCTGCGAGTATTGTTACATAAATTCTCGTCTCCATAGTTGCTGCTGTGGTCTACTGGACAAAGATCATCAAGGTGAAGCTACCCGCGGGATTCCAGGCGGTGATGTGAATTGGAGCGTGGCAAGCCACACAGAAGAACAGCCAACGAACGCTTATGGTGAACTGGAATTTACTGGGGCTGGGTTAGCAAGTAGAGCTAAGGTCAGTGAGTAATCAAGCAATAAGGTACATCTTCTTAGGTTTAATGACGTGTTAAGCCACGCGGGATGTTTGAAGAACAGGAGAAAAGTTGTAAATCGCGAGCCGTTCACGGCAATAAAAGTAGCGCTCACCGTACGGAAAACAAAAGTTGAATTCACGGAAAACGTGACAATTTACTAACGTTTACCCGTGTTTTGCCTACGGAAAATCCGACGTTTTCTGTGCGTTTTCGCATGTGTGAATCCCAGTATTCGTTCCATTATTCGGTAGTTTTCCTTCGCGGTAAATGCATGCAGGTAAACAATTTATTTTCCGGCATTAACCGCTCGGTTAACGCAGTACCGCAAGCAGCGTGTTTTCCTTTTGTTCATTGACATTTTCCGAGTGAACAACAACGTATTCACCAGAGTTAACAGCTGAAAACACACATTTTCCGGGAAGGTTGATATGTGTAAATACGGGAAAACGTAATGTTTTCCAAAGTTTGCAGTTCGTATAATGCATAGAAAATGCTATGTTTTCTTTTGTTCGCCACCGTTTTT